GTGCGAGAGGCGCTCTCCATTGCTGCTTTCCAAATCGAGCATTCTGTTCTTTATGTCACTGCTTTGAATCCCCATGAGGATGCAAAAGGCGACAGAAGCGACGGAGAAAACAAACGGGATCGCACCGGTGATGGTTTTGAGGTAATGCCGCTTTCCGCCGAAGCCCGAGTCGCTCTCCATTTTCGCAGCGCACCTGGACTGATTTGTGGCTCCTGAAGCCTTCATAACTCTCTTTCAACCGCGCAATGCTGTGTAAATAATCACCATGCAGAGACAGGAGCAGAATGACTGAGAAGGACTGAAAGTGTTATTTCGACGCGTTCCGTGCTGAACTGAACTGAACTGAACTGAGAGCGACGTCCGTGTCCGCGCGCATGCAGCTCCGTCTAGCGCGCGCTCATTCAAACCCAGCCTGATAACCGGATAACCTGCGGCTGATTCGCGGAGGCTTCTGGGAGCTAGCTGATGTACTGGACAAAAATAGGGATCAATGAGATGGCGTGGCCAGGCGTTCCGAATCCCTACTTGGACAGGCGGCGTGGCCAAAGCTTTAAAGCGCACGAGGGTCTGAGCGCGCTGAGAAGAGCGCAGTGCATTCCACACGGTCCGTTCACACTACACAGCACTGCGCGCCTCCGAATGCACGCGCCACTCAGCGATCATCATCACCATCATCATCATCATCATCATCGGGACTGCTCTCTCCACCCACATGCACTCTCTCCACTGTCTGCATCTTATTTCTGCGATTATATTCAGACATTGCAAACGCTTCTGTTGAATAGGTCTATTATACAATGGTGTTTTGCAGAGCGGATGCATGCATTAGCTAAATGCAACCCTCTGAAGTGAAAAAAAAATCAATTGAAATAGATACTGAAATGTGGCACCGTCAAAAGGAAGCTATGATCAGTAGTGACTGCAGCTGTAATCATTCACTTTCTGCCTGTCAGGTGTCTGTTAAGCGCATAAATCAAACCCTGCACACCACATCAGCAGCCTATGCCTGCACAAAGCTAACTTTTTTTTATTAAAAAAAATAAAATAAGAAACTAAATTTCATGCTGAAACATATCAGACACGAGGTTGCCTAATTGTATAAAACAGTAGCCAGTCAAAACCACTGCACTGTCGCTCCCTAAACGCCACTCAATAATTCACGCATAATGAACCGTAGAATAAATTACGGAGATGAATAGCAAGTATTGCGACGCTAATCTGAATCACGTGGTGTGCGAAAAGTGGCGGTTCTGTGCTGTGAAGTTCAGTGTGCTTGCCGCAGTTTTTTCGCAGTAACCTTAGACATCGGGCTTCAAGGAGAAGCTCGTGGTTGGAACCCATGTGGAGATGCCTGACATGCATTCACTGCCTTGCTGCTGCCAGACATGTGGCCTGGACTGACCTCTATATTGGTCCCACACTCAGTTTGAGTTTCACCACAGAAACTCAACGATACGGCAAAAAATAAAGGATGGGTGAAGATATTTTGGAGTTACACAATACCTATCACAGTATTTACTTTTTTGAGGTTTGATATCAAGTTGATAGACACCATATGAAGGCAAAACAGCAGTGCCTAGTAGTTTAAAAGGCCTATGAAAAACCAAGTTGCTTTTTCTAATCCAGTGTTTAGTGTACAATGGTATAATGTCCCAAGCAGTTAGTAATCTGACTGGCTGACCACTGTGTTTTCTGCTCTCTACAGTCAGTGTAAGTCTTATTTTTGATGAATCATGCAGTTGCTCAGGTATTGTACAAGTCCTGGCGATACTTGAAAGTGTATTGTCGCATCATTTTTGGTGGTAACAATCCCCCATCACACCCAGCCATAGTCTGAAGTAGGGTGTATAACCACCTGTGAAAGCACAGTGATAGCAGATAGAATGAAATTGGGTTATAATAAGGAAAACTGTATTTGACTAAAGAGTAATTATAAATTAACAGTAGTAACGAGACAGAAAATGGCTAATGGGATCTTAACCTAAAGCAGGCTGCTAATTATAGTGTTTTTTTTTTTTTTTTCAACATTTGTAAAATAATGGTGGAATTGTGTTTTTCATTGTATTGAACCCCAAGTCCCAAAACAGCTGTTCATCATACGTACTCATAAAAGAGGTATGAACAGAAAAAGTTAATGAGTCTTCCCTGAGGATTTCAGGGGGAAATTGATGTACAGAGTGCAGAGTGATTTTCTGCTTTATGTTGACTTCTTGGGTTGAGGGCCGTTTCTTGAAAGATGTCGAAGCACAGGTATAAATTGAGTCTGCATAATATATCGTACATTCATTTCTCTTCAGTAACCACTTTATCTTGGTCAGGGACACGGATTCAGAGCCAGTCCCATTAAGGTGGAGGAGTTCACCCTGGATGGGACACCTGTCCTTTGCAGGGCACCGTGCACTCACACACTTTTATGCACTCATTGACCACGTATGTGCTAATCCACTTACCTGCATGTTTGTTGGACAATGGGAGGAAACCGAAGAACCCAGAGGAATCCCACACGAACACGAGAGAAGTGCAAAACTCTGCACAAACAGTAACCAGAGCTCAGGACAAAACCCAGGACCCTGGAGCTGTGAGACAGCAATGCCATCTGTGCCCACTGTGCCATCTGCATAAAATATTATTAGTTAATAGTTATAAAACACTACTGATATAACATTAGTGCTACTGTTGTAACATTAGTTAAGTGTTAATTGTTATACTACTGATATTGCAAAATGTACACAATCCCTCTTCCTAGTCACCCAGTACATTAAGGGTCTAATGTGTTTTTTATTATACTGAAAGGCAGAATACAGTTGCTTTTACCAAGATTATAATAGCAGTATAATATTTCATCCATATAGTGCAGCCTTAGTGTAAAAAGCACAACCTGGACCTAAGTGATATTTGTGTCTTTCCATTGCACTCAAACAGCAACAGAGCACTCTAGTGTCCACAGTGTGCCAGGTCAAGTGTGGCATTTTACTAAGGGGGTGTGTTCAAGGCAGCAGCATCTCTGTGTGTGAACACATCATGTTTTTTTTGTTGTTGTTGTTGTTGTTGTTGTTGTTGTTTTTACCTTTCTCATTTGTCTCAAAAAATAAAACTGGCACAGGTCTGAAAAACCTTCAATATGACAGTGACTGTAATGTTTATGACGATCCAGTTATACTACTGTGATGTTCACTATATGGCCAAAAGTATGTGGACACCTGACCAATCACACTCATATGTGCTTGTTGAGCATCCCGTTATAGATTTAGTCCCCATTTCCTGTTTAAATAACTTCCACTCTTCTCTGAATGCTTTCTGCTCGATTTTAGAGTGTGGCTGTGGCACTGATGTCGGGCAAGGAGTCCTGGATTGTAGTCAGCAGTCCAAATAATCCTAAAGGTGTTCAGTGGGGTTGAGGTCATGGCTCTGTGCAGGCCACACGAGTTCTTCCACACCACCCTTGGCAAACCATGTCTTTATGGAGCTCGCTTTGTGCACAGGGGCATTGTCGTGCTGGAACAGGTTTGGGCCCCTTAGTTGCAGTGAAGACAAACTGTTAAACTTCAGCATACAAAGACATTCTAGATAATTCTGTGCTTCCAACTTTGTGGCAACAGTTTGGGGAAGAAACACATATGACTGTCACGGTCAGGTGTCCACATAGTTTTGGCCATATAGTGTATTTTGTGCTTTAAAAATGTCTTCCACGAATTCCTTTAGTCTTTAGGAAAATTATAATGATAAAATCATTATGATTTTGATAATATATATTTATAATAAAAGCAAATGATACGAATATGTTAATGATAATACATAATAGATTATTAAGATAACCTGGTTTCCTCCCACTTTCCAAAAACATGCAATTGGGTTACCCTATATTGCCCAAAAGTGTGTGTGTGTGTGTGTGTGTGTGTGTGTGTGTGTGTTGACTGGTGTCCAGTCAAGACTGTATTCCCTCCTTGAATCCAGTGTTCCAGGGATAAGCTCCGGATCCACTACCACCCTGACCAAGATGAATGTTATAATAATGTAAACGTTAACAATGTGATCACCTTTTTTATTCCACTTTGTAAAGTGTTGAACCTGCAGCTGCCAATTTTCTCCACTAGCTGGCATCATATGCTTAGTTTAAGAATTTCTGCAGAATTTTCTTTTTTTTTTTTTTTTAGCAACGATTGCCTATTCATGTGATTTTTTTCCCAGTTGATATATTGAAACCAAAATCATCTCTACTGTTTCAATTTTATATGTGTGTATCCAACAATCCAGCTGGCTCTCTCTGTTCCGCCAGAAACAATCACAGCACAGTCACCACACAATCACTGCAGAATTCTTTACATGCTTCACATTGTTATTGTATCCCACATTGTAAAATCATTATCAGGTCCTTTTGTAAGAATGTCAGTCTAATCTAATGCAATCTAATTTTAGACAAGAGACAAGAATGTTAGCATTCTAAAAAAAAAAAAAAAATAAAATAAAAAAAAAACTGAGGAACTGGAAAATTCACACACTTGTGAATTACTGGAAAAGCTCACAGTAATTCACAAATGGAAACCCACACAGGGAAAACTGCTTTTTAAACAAGGAATGGAAACCAATTAAATGAGCACTGTAAGGGCTATATCATTAATCACATGGAAGCATTGGAATCAATATTAAACTCTCATTCACAAGTGGAGGTTTGTATTTTTTGGGAATCATTTGTGTGAAAATAAAAATGATGTGTTAAATTTCCCTTATGTTTACTTCAAGCAACATTACAAATGGTACATGTTATTAGGAACACCTTTTCACCTGCACATTAAACCATCCATCCATTTTCCTTACCACTTATTCTACACAGGGTTGCAGGGTAGCCTGGGGCCATTCCAAAGGGACTTGGGGCACAAGGCGGGGGACACCCTGGATGCTGCACAACCCATTACAGCCTTCAACACATGTCTTTGGACCAGGGGAGGAAACCAGAGTACCTGGAGGAAACCCCTGAAGCACAGGGAGAACATGCGCACACAGAACAGAGGTGGGATTTGAACCCCTAACCCCAGAGGTGCAAGGCGAACGTGCTAAACCACTAAGCCACCATGCCCCCAGTGCCTAAAAAAATCATGCAGATACAGGTCAAGAGCTTCAGTTAATATTTATGTCAAACATCAGAATGGGGAAAAAGGCTGATCTCAGTGACTTTTACCATGGCATGTTTGGTGCCAGATGGGCTGGATTGAGTATTTCAGAAACAGAAACAGTCTCTATGGTACCCTGGTCTCATGAATCTCGATTTCTGCTGTGACATGCAGATGTTGGGGTCAGAATTTGGCATCAGCCGCATGAAACCATAGACCAAAACCTGCATTATGCCAACAGTTGAGGCTGCTGGTGGTGGTGGTGGTGGTGGTGTAATGGTGTGGGGAATGATTTCCTGGCACACATTTGGCCCCTTAATACCAACCGAGCATCCTTTTAATGCCATAGGCTATTTGAGTATTGTTGCTGACCTGAAGCATCCTTTTATGGCCACAATTTACCCATCGTATAATGGCTTCTTCTAACATGATAATATGCCATCACAAGGCACAATTCTTCTCAAATCTGTTCCATGGACATGAGATCAGTGTACTTCGATGGTCTCCCCAGTCACTAGAACTGAATCCAACAGAGCACATTTGGGATGTGGTAGAACTGGGGAACTGCAGCATGAATGTGCAGCTGACAAATCTGCTGCAATTATGTGATGTAATCATGTCAACAAAGGACTCTCAAAGGAATGTTTTCAACAACTTGTGAAATCCATGCCATGAACTGAATATCTTCTGAGAGCAAAGGGGGCTCCAACCCAGTGAAGTGGCCAGGGCATGTACGTAGCTGCATATAGTCTAAGGTTGAGTAGGGACCAGTATGAAAATGTGAGGAAGGAGAATCTGGGTGGTAGATTTTCTTCAGTTTGGGAATTGGTTTATTTCAAACTTCTCAGGTTTTGGAAGTGAGTTTCTTCTTTTATTAGGAATTGCACGTCCAGGTCAAATTGTTCCCATGAAAAATGTCCAGTCATGTGAAATTGCTAGGATATTATTTTACCAGTGGAAAAACCTGGAAATGCATTTGCCAAAATTTTACCAAGATTGTCTCTTAAGATTGCCATTGTGCTCACAAGTCCAAGGACTGCAACTTTTCAAAGATGAATAGAAAATAGTTTCTGTACTTTATCATGAGTTTACACTGGCGTCCGAGTAGGTGTTGGTTTAAATAGCCGTGAACAGTTAGCAAGGAAAGAAGAAGGTAAAGCGTAAAACTGATACAATCATTTAGTATAGTATAACCATCAGTTATGTAGCCGTGAACAGCAAGAACAGGGAGGAAAAATATAAAATTAGCTCAATTATCATTTAATATAGGCTGAGTGATGAGAATAAAGCACTCTATGACTCACACTATTAGCAGGGTTCTGTGGATTTTGAGAAATGTGAACATACAGAGTTATTGAAGTTAAGCATGCTAATGTTTGAGCATTTGGTCAGAGGGCAAATTAGGGTCATTTCCTGTTGTTGTTTTTTTTTTACTAATTCAATTTAAATTCCACTTCCTCCAAATTTAAGCACTGCACACCAATAACTACTCACTTATATGAAAGGACAGCCATGTACCAAAACAGATCATGGTTTAAAAATGCTTAATCTTTACTAAATAAACTAAATAAACTACAGTATAATTGTTATTTCTACCTGTCAGCTGTATTTATTTAACTGTAGCCCAGTTGGAACACAATTTTTTTGATGGTAAGACTGAGTGCAGAGGTGACACATCAGTTCAGTTATTGGGTGCTCCATAACAAAAAGACTGAGAAAGCATACATTTCATATTATTACTTTGAAAGATGACATGCAGCTTTTGTTGTTATCATCGTTATTTTCTTTATGGGAAAGCTATTTTTGCACAATAGTCAGACCTGTAGATGCCAACGTCTACACTACTAGGGGGCTGCTACTCTAATCAAACTATGAGCAGTACCAAAAATTCAGAACACAGCTTAGAAAGGGGAAAAAGTAAAACACTTACAAAAATATAAATAGTTATAGGGATACAAATGGGTGACAAATTAAAGGAAAAAGCAATATAAAGCCAGAACAGCTTGAGTGCATCCTGATATATATTCTACAAGTCTTTTGAGCTGTACTATGGGGTGAACACCATTTTTCCTAAAGATCCCCTGTTTTAATGACGGTGATGAAGAGTGCTGTCTAACATGTCAGTCCAAAATCTCTTATATTTTTGATTGTGCTCTCTCATAATTGGGTTGGGATACAGTGATTGTGATTTACATTATTTTCATATTCATCAAACCAATAATTGGGCCCTGATACCCTGTGGAAGGGGGCGGAGTCATCCTGGAAGCGACCACTCCCATCAGAAAAGATTTTTTTTTTTATTATAGGATAAAGGTGATCAGTCAGAATAATTTTGCACTGATTTGCTGCGACTCTGAGGGGACAACTGGACCCAAATCATGCAAGTAAAATGCCCTCTACAGCATAACAGAGCCACCAGTTTTCCTTTAATTTGCCACCCATCTGATCATGGTTTAATCATCCTACCTTCCAGAATTTAACATACACGTTATCATATTACTGCAATTTGGTATTTAACTATAAACTGTGAATAACATGGCGGGGCTTAACGGAAAAGACTGAGAAGGTGCATTTAAATGTACGTAAGAGCAATTACATGAAGTCAGTGCTGGATTTTCCTATGTTACTTAATATTATGCATCACACTGACAAATCACATAAGATTGTTCATTAGTCAGGTTGCTATGGCTGGCTGTCTTGGTCTGACTTCATACTGTCTAACATGAAATGTATGAGGTTCAATGAGAATTTGACAGACCATTTTAGTATTTGATATTTTTCATGGTAGTTACAGTACTGTTTGCAGTGCCCACTGTCAGGTCATTTTGCACCATATTTTCTTGGCCCCTTGTGTTTTGACAGTGTTCCAAAACACAGCTTGGCTGACTGAGGGTCAGCAGGCCATTTTCACTGAGCCATACTGGAATTAGTAGGGCAAATGTTTGCTCTGGCAAGGAAGAAACTATTCGCAGCTATATTTTAGGGCTCTGTTGCTGACAACCCATCTGATCACTGGTAATTATAATTTAAGTGAGAAATAACTAACACCAAAAGATCAATATCCAGCACAGATGTTTACAAAATAAATAGGCACTTAGCAAATTAAGAAGACCTGTATGTGTGTATAAATATGTGTATGAATGCACAGTCTCACATTTAAAGTGGGCACTCTTACATATGTTGCAAAGTAGAAAAAGCATGCATCCAAGAAAGGAGCTACACAGACAATCTCTTTGTTTTGGATGTGTTAGTACCAGTTAGTCTTGGGATGAAATGATGCCAAAAACAATGTTGGAAGTGAGCTCTAGCTCTCTGCCTTTTCTCTGGGATTTAACACTACAGCCTCTTTGGCTTGGTGTATATTCACACACACACACACACACACACACACACACACACACACACACACACACACACACACACACATCGATCAGCCATAACATTAAAACCACCTGCCTATTATTGTGTAGGTCTCCCAAAACAGCTCTGACCCATCAAGACATGGACTCCACAAGACCTCTGAAGGTGTGCTGTGGTATCTGGCACCAAGACGTTAGCAGCAGATCCTTTAGGTCCTGTAAGTTGTGAGGTGGGGCCTCCATGGATCGGACTTGTTTGTCCAGCACATCCCACAGATGCTCAATCGGATTGAGATCTGGGGAATTTGGAGTCCAAGTCAACACCTTGAAATGTTCCTCAAACCATTCCTGAACAATTTCTGCGATTTAAGTGATGTACACACACCCAACTGTCCACATGATGTACAAGAAAACATCATCAGACCAAGCCACCTTCTTCCATTGCTCCGTGGTCCAGTTCTGATACTCACACGCCCATTGTAGGCGCTTTCAGCGGTGGACAGAGGTCAGCATGGGCACTCTGACCAGTCTGTGGCTACACAGCAAGCTACGATGAACTGTGTGTTCTGACACCTATCTATCGTAGCCAGCATTACATTTTTCAGCAATTTGTGCTACAGCAGCTCTTCTGTGGGATTGAAGAGCTCCCCACACGTATCAGTGAGCCTTGGGTGCCCATGAATCTGTCGCCAGTTCACCGGTTTTCCTTTCTTGGACACTTTTGGTAGGTTCTAACCACTGCATACAGGGAACACCCCACAAGTCCTGCTGTTTTGGAGACGCTCTGACCCAGTCATCTAACCATCACAATTCAACCATCACCCTTATCAAAGTCACTCAGATCCTTATGCTTGCCCATTTTTCGTGCTTCCAACACATCAACTTTGAGAACTGACAGTTTGTTTGCTGCCTAATATATACTACCCTATGACAGGTGCCATTGTAATGAGATAATCAACACTATAATTATTGTTATCAATGTTCACTTCACCTGTCAGTGCTTTTAATGTTATGGCTGATATATATAAGAAATGCTATTAATACAGTAATGTAATACATAGTGGGATATGTATTGTTGTGTTATGTACATACAGTTAGGTCCAGAAGTATTAGGACAATGACAGAGTTTTTGTGATTTTGCCTTTATACACCATCACAATGGATTTGAAATAAAACAATCAAGATGTGATCGAAATGTAAACTTTCAGCTTTATTTTAAGAGGTTCCACAAAAATATGGCATTTACCATTTAGGAATTACAGCCATTTTCAGCAAAGTACCTCCATTTTCAGGGGCTCAAAGGTATTTGGACAAAGTGACATAATTGTAAATATAACCGTAATTTTAATACTTGGATGAAATGAAGTCAATGACTGCCTGAAGTCTGGAGCCCATGTTCTCAAAACTCAAATTCTAAGTTTCCTCCCAGGAGATGCTTTGCCAGGCTTCACTGCAGTCACCTTCAGTTGCTGCTTGTTTGTGGGTCTTTCTGCCTTCAGTCTTGTCTTCAGTAAGTGAAAAGCAGCTCTATTGGGTTGAGATCAGGCGACTGACTTGGCCATTGAAGAATTTTCCATTTCTTTGCCTTCAAAAAGTCTTGAGTTGCT